AAATAAGATAAATACAACTACTCTACTAACTATAATATAATTAACAAGTATAACAATTATGCTAATTATAACTAATCTATCTAATCAACGATGACCACTTTAGCAACTTGGTACTTTGTTAATCATTTTTATCATGTGACTAATTAAGGCACAGTCACGGATCACGACTTCACCGTAAAAAATCAAACTATCCACTGGCACTGTATCCCTCTTTTCCATTGGAAGGGGCTTAGTTTCTGTCTTATTCAACTCGATAAAGATTTGCCAAAATGTCTTGCTTGAACTTTTACGAGAACTGGCCTGATACATATTTTTATTTGGAGGTGCCAATTTGTGAGCTCTCTAACTCTATAAGCTACTGCTACTCACTGACCGTTTCATCAGTTGTTGTTACTATTACATCTTCTGCAGCACGATTTCTGCACCAATTTTGGAGATAGTTGCCACGATTCTACCTATTTGCTGCGCTGGCAGTTAATAAAAATGATCCAGCCATAGGAAGAGCAAATAGAACTATAGTAACGACTCAAGGAATAAAAATCTATTTGAGTTAGTTTATTTTAGGCGGTAGCGGCAGCGGTGAGATTAATTCTTTTAGATTATCGGGAGTCATTTTATCACTTAGTTCACTAAGGGCATCATGAAACCATCGATGTTGCCTCTCCCAATAATTGAATAGCTTGTTTGCCGAATCAATCATGTGATATGTAGCAACACCATAACCTTTAGGATTGAACGAGTTTCCTAAACAGAACTGAAGAGAATTAGCGTATGCTCCAATTTCATTATCTGCATTCGGCTACATATTCTGTAGTATTAATTTGAACACCTGGTACGTCTGGGTGTTTACCTTCACTGCAATACTTTGCAGTTAGATCAGTTGGAAATACATGATCTGAGTTAGGTGTTTCTTGCATATATGTAATTTTAGGGATCGGAATAAGTCTTAAATTCCATTTGTAGTTATTATGGTTGTTTTCGGTATACGACGAAACTGAAATATTCCCTGTTTATTTTCACCATAAAGTTAAAGTTACAATCAAAGGCACATCCCACATACAGTTGTTAAGGGTGGCTCATGCTTTACAGTTTGAACATCCTTGATCAAAAGAGACGTCGCATAAGTAACGACATCATCGTCAATATGGAACGCCACGATTAGAAGGTACTTGATGTTAAAATTATGTTCTACAATACTGCCGACGAAAAATGTATAAAAATGATAATAAACTTTACTTCATAGAGAAATAATCTTTTTTCACCTTTCGAAAAATCAGAAACCTTTTATACTGTATATAACCCACGGAAAATTACAAGATACCGGAGAGACCACAAGCCTTTAAACCATTTTGGTATCCAATTCTTTTTTTTTTTATTCAACGTACGTTTAAGAAAATCACTATTTTCTCATTTTAACATTTAAGAAATAGCAAGCCAAAAAAATTGTCAACTCCTTTTCATATTGTATTGTATCAGTATTCCAGTCGCTCGGAAAAGTCGATCTCTCTTGTCCGATCCGATCTCGGAACATTACTTTCATTTATATTTACAACAGAATTTTTTTTTTTTTATCATCTCACTCAATATATTCTAAAAAAAATAAAATAAATACATTCATTACATTTCTAACATTAACATGTCTGATTTTAATCTTTATTTCATCGGATCACCCATGAAATTTGCGAAAATAGAATCCCTCAGATAGGGAAGCTGTGGTTGGACATTTGACCTAGCCAGTTGTTAGTGAGGTGTTATACTATTATCAAGTGGATGGTAAATTTTTTTTAAAAAAAAATTTCTTCATTCGATTCAATTTTTTTTTATAATAAATCAACCAATGGTGAAAAAAAAAAAGTATTGATATTTGGTTAATGGAACTATTTATGTTTACATTCAGCAACTTTGTACTCCAGATATTATGAACCTTAATTTTGTTAACGAGTATTGATTACTGTCAAAACGATGTAATATAAATATAGCTGATTGCAAAGATACAATTATCTGGTGTACTGCTTATTCAGATGGTTGCGGCTCTGACACTGATCTCCAGAAAAAGGATGCTTTTAATGAATTAGATATACCAAACATATGAAAATCATTTAGCAAGAAAAAAGCATGTTATTACATGAAAGAGCTAGGATTAGGAATAAAATGAAAAGAATTCGGAGTTATTTTATTAGGTAACCTTTCAAAAGCAAATCATAATATATAATGTTCAATTTATGGGTGTATTTCATATATATAGTAAATCATATGATACCGCTACTCGTCTCGTTTGCTAAAAAAAGGTTCCTTGACTATTCAGCCATTTCAACAGGATAATTTTTAAAGTTATACTGAGTCATCAATTGGTGTAAGCGCTTTTTTTTTATATTTAGCGATATAGAGATTCTACGGATTGGGATAAATTCTTTTTTTCTTTGATAAATATAAAATTAAATTACTTTTTTAGGCGATATTTTCAGTTGAGTTTTTTTTAAAACAAATCCGTTAGGATATTAACTTCACCTCTTATTTTTTATTTCGGCAACGATTGTGAGTTTTTTTTTTTTTGATATAAATTTAGTTTTTATCGATCTAGGTAATTTTTTTTTAGGTTTAAGATTTTTACGACTGCTTCGATTATTGAACGATTAATTAATAAAACTATATTAAACGAAAAATCCTTCTATTACTGCCTCACTCTGGCCTCTGAACTAAGCTTTAAACAAAGACAAAAGCGGTGTCTATTTCCAATTCTTTCATCGCCATAAAAAAAAGTCACTACCACGTGACATTGGCCCGCATTATTACATTCACATACGCAAAAAATGAAAGAAGGAAGGGTGTTACGCGTGACAAATATTTTTACTATGATCACGTGGTAGTGACATTTTTTATGGCGAAGATTTATTGTATTTATAATAACCATTTGCAATAAAATTATATACTTTATTTTGAAGAAAAATTTGCACTTTACATTCTAAGTGGTCATTATATAGAGCGCACCAAAAAGACGTTATTATCAAATATTAAAGTTCCTCCCACTATAATATCTGAATTTGTTGGTTTAATTCCAAGAATCTTAATTCTGGCCAAATCTTAATTTCGGCAGGGGTTAATATCAACAAATTTCTGTAAATTAACGTTAAACCACAATGATTTTATAAAACGTTTGGCGCAATATTACATAACTAATATATTATCCCGATGAGTTCCTTTTCTGCGCCTCCTTGTGAATATTTTATTGATTTTAAATTATAATAATATGGCATAATCATACAATTATTTACAAGGATATCAAATTACCTTTACTAATAATGCAAATAATATTAGGATTAATTACTTTATGTTAATTCTAAAGGTAACGATGCTCTAGGATCCAGATTCATGTGACTTCTATCGTTTTTGATTCGTTTGAACCTCTTCACTCTGAAGCCAAGTATGAAATTATATATATATATTCCCACTTAATAAATTATACAAGTAATTGTAATCTTTCCGCTATCGCAAGCTGTGTACGTGTCATGTTTGCCAGATAAACGACCATTAATAAATCCTACAATAAAATAAAAATATTAAAATTAATATAATTAGGTTTTTTTCTCCTTGTACCATGAAAATAACTTACTTGTAAATGACTGTTAAACATCTTTTCGAATTCCGCTTTATCAATTTTGGGTACAACTGAAATCGTATCCATTAAGAATCGGCCAATCGTATTATTGGAAGGTATGCTCCCATCCTAATAGAAAATTTAAATGTTACATAAGTCCTGAAAATCCTGGTTTGTTTAGCATCGTCATAATTACCAAAACTTTGTTAACATAATCCGAGATCCTTTCCAGCATCTTTTGAACAGCGACTATGGTTTTTTCAAGATTGTCCATATCAGATATTAGAGATGTAGATCGACTTAATTCGTCTTTTGCAGACGCAAGAAGATCAACTAAAAAAAAGCAAAAGTTTTTAATTTAACGCGAAGATACTTTAAAACTAGCATTAATTTTTTTTTTGCTTACGTCCACTTCGTTCGGCATCGAAATATTTGACATCACATGGGACAGGCAAAAATAGACAATTTTCTGGCTTTGCAGAAATCCCAATTGGTGCACTATTCAAATTCATTTCTATGATTAATGAATTTCATAATCAAAGTAAATCTTTGTTTCATATTTACCCAACGTATGTTTTGACACCTAAAAGCTTTTCTTCGTTCTTGAGATCCGTATCCATTGTTAAATGGATAGCTTGAAACGGTGGCATAACCTCTTTTGAATAAAAATCTTGGATGAGGGCGTTCCATTGATTAAGATTTGATCCTGTAGCATACCATCCGACAATTATTTCTTTTGCATTAACCTTTTTGTGAAGCTCAAACATGTTGTGGTGATATTCCATATCTACAGCAACCTAATTTTATTTTTTATTTTTTATTTGCTTAATATAAATCTCTCATTTTCTACAATACATAATCTCGCTTATAAATGGCAAACCTGGTTCTGAATTGGTGAAGATCAGGAAAAAAAAATTATTTCCATTTTCTAATGAATAATATATGCTCAAAAAAAAATAAATAAATAAAATTACAAACCTGATTCTGTGTTTCATCATGAGGAACTGGAAAACAATTTCGAACTTCAACCTCACTTCCATCCTCACTTCGAACACCTAACAAGGTACCGATTACTCGGTGTTGATTTTCTTGTCTACGAAGATAATGATCGAGAATTGAAAACAGTACTACCGGGTTTACAGAAACCGTAAAAGAGCGGCTTTGGGGAACGACAAAACCCGCTGTTGTAGTCGGAGGGAACGAAAGATTCAAAGCCGAGGTTGCAGCGTCAATTGGCATGTTTGCTATCAAAGAAAAAAAAAATAAAATAAAATATGATTTATAAATTAAAGGGTTAACCAATCACAAACGAAGATCAAATAAAATTTTTTCGATAAATACTTTATTGATCTGATCACCATTGGGCCCTCTTTAAAAATCTTTTTAAAAAAATTAAAAATAAAAAATGTCAAAACGTACAATAGAAGATACGTCAGTGCAAGTGGCTTCGAAGGCTCCTTTTGGTAAACTCGGAGAAAATAAATTTGGTTCAGTTAATGAAACAGCGGAGGGTATGGGAGAATTTGAAGACCCCTGGGAAGACGAATATGAAACAGAGTCCGAGGAAGAAGTGGTTGAAGAGGATGAAAATGATGAAGACGAAATTGATGATGATGATGGTATGGGGTTAGATCAATTAAGGGAATTGTACAAATTCTACTTTTCAAAAAAAAATTAAGAAACGAAAAAATTGTAATATAAAAATATTTAAAGCTATAATGTTCCATTCGTAATTAATTAAGTTTTATACATTATTCATATATTTATTTATTAATATAAAGCAATGGAAATTGAAGAAAGTGAAGAACATCAAGTATATCTTCCCGGGCAAGAATTACAAAAGGATGAGGTTCTTGAGGCGGATCTGTCAGCTTACGAAATGTTACATCCTATACACGTTGAATGGCCATGTCTCAGCTTTGATGTTTTGTGGGATAATTTAGGAGAGGACAGGAAGATGGTTTGACTTTACTTTTTTGATTTTTATCAAATCTTTTCATATCAAGTGCGACAATTTAATAATTTATTATACTTACAAAATTTTAGTACCCGGCCACAGCATATATTGTCTCTGGAACCCAAGCGGATAAACCAAAAAACAATCAATTGATGATAATGAAAATGTCCCAGCTACATAAAACGCAAAATGATGGTGAGTACTTGTTTTGTGTAACATAGAGCCAATACTATATATTAATTGAATTTGGTCTTTTTAATACTAGATAAAGACTCTGATGGCTCAGATGATGAGGCCTTGGATGAGAATCCGATCTTAGAACACAAAAGTTTAAAGCATTATGGAGGCGTCAATCGCGTTAGAGTCACGCCACAAAAGGACCTTCAAATAGCTGCTTCATGGGCGGAAACGGGGAAAGTGCATATTTGGGATTTGAATCCAGTTATAAAATCGTTGGACACTACGGGTTACCAAATTCCACAAAAATCATTAAAGCCGATATATACGGTCGAAAGTCATAGTACTGAGGGATTCGCGATGGATTGGTCAGGAACTGTCCCCGGAAGGTGGATGTTTTAATATCTTATCTCAAATATCTATATCTTATATATATATATATATATATATTTATTTATTTACACTTAAATTTCACCGATAGGCTGATAACAGGAGATATGCATACACATATTTATCTCACGACAAAAGCGCAATCCAATTTTACAGCGGACCGAATACCGTTTGTAGGTCATACGTCTTCGGTAGAGGACTTACAATGGTCCCCCACAGAAAAAAATGTATTCGCTAGTGCCTCGGCCGATCAAACAATACGTATATGGGATACTCGAAGTAAAAAGAAAGACGCTTTATGTATCAAGGCTCATGATTCGGACGTAAATGTTATTACCTGGAATCGGTTTGTATATGTTTTTAATATATTAATCATTTTTACTTAGTCTGCAAAAGAATAACTCATTTATCGAATTCTTTAGGAAAGTCGATTATCTGCTTGCTTCAGGTTCAGATGATGGCGTGATAAGTATATGGGATTTGCGTACTTTTGTAAAGTCTGTATCATTCATTATTCGTTGTTACCATTGTCATCATTGATTCAATATCAACCGACCTTCTCTATTTGTTCAATAAAATAGTAAAGGAACGAAACCTTCTCCTGTTGCTAACTTCAAATGGCATTCTGCGCCAATCACCTCAATCGAATGGCATCCCATTGAAGAATCAGTTCTTGGTGCATCCGGAGCAGATGATCAAATTTCCATATGGGATCTTTCAGTTGAACATGATCCTGAAGAAAACTCTGAAAAGATTATCGGAAAGAATGGCGTAGAGGTTCCCCCGCAGTTACTATTTATACATCAGGTAACTTATTATAAAAATGCACTATGATTTGTACTTGCAACATTATTTAAAGTTATTGTTATCGTCGATATAGGGTCAAAATGACATCAAAGAGATACATTGGCATCCACAGATTCCCGGATGCATGATTAGCACAGCTGCTTCCGGATTCAATATTTTCAAGACTGTTTCTACATAGAACATAAAAATAATTTAATTGGTGTATATATTATTCAAAATTTTCGTCCTCAAAAAATTTACAGTACCATATTATTAAAGTATTTCGATTTGTCATCGGAAAAAACTTATTTATTGTAAAAATATGCATAATCAATTATGAGTCATAACTGTTTTCATTTAACAAATCACTGTACAACTGTTGATCAGTTTGATCATCAAAAAATTAATCGTACGCTCTCAAATTAAGCACCGTCTCATTAAACAACTTTCTCACGTTCAAATGGTGGTTATTATGAACTATGTATAAAAAGTAATTCAACAGGGAGGTGCTTATTTTTGGTCGTTAGAGACGGTCACACAAACTACTTTATTTACGCGAGTACCTTCACAGTTACTATAATTTTTATTATATAAAGAACTTTATATCCTTTCAAAAATTCTTACCAAGGCTTTTACATTTTCCAATCATGTCTAATAACGAAGAATTGGCGATTGAAGTTCAAAACCTTTCTTTCAACTACGGTGGACCACCAATTTTGAAAGACGTGAATTTGAAATTGCACAAGGGAACTCGCTGTTTATTAGTTGGTAATAATAATGAAGAAAATTCATTTTGCAACCTAATTTATTAGCTTTATTATTTAGTATCCTTAATATTTTAGGCGCCAATGGAGCTGGGAAATCCACTTTATTGACGATCCTGGCAGGGAAGAGAATGGTTCGAGATAAGGTGTTGATTTTTGGAAGGGATTCATTTAAAAATCCTCCACCCGTACGTATAATGTTCATTTTTCTCACTTTTCGAACGCTTTTGAATTAATTATTTTTCGATAAATAGGGAATTACTTACCTTGGTACCGAATGGGCGAACAATCCCATTGTCAGGGGTGATGTTCAAGTCTCCACCCTCCTATCCAACATGAATGGTGATAAGTATCCTGAGAGAGTGAATGAATTAATTCAAATTATGGACATTAATCCAAATTGGCGAATGCATCAAGTATCCGATGGTCAAAGACGTAGGGTACAACTCGTTTTAGGATTAATTGAACCTTGGATTTTATTACTTATGGATGAAGTTACCGTTGATTTGGATGTTTTGGTACGTTCTGATCTGTTGGAATTTTTGAAAAAAGAAACAGAAAGGAGAAATGCTACTATCGTAAGTTAATTAAGAATATTTTATCTTTTAACTTCAACGAAAGAATTAACCTTTGCTTCATAAATAAAATAGGTTTACGCAACTCATATTTTCGATGGTAAGAAATTTTTACACACGTCCCAAATTGTCAAGTCCCGATTAATTAAATTCTTTTAATTTGTACTTAGGACTTGGAGACTGGCCTACTCATGTAACTCATATAAAACGCGGATCAATCGTAGCACTTCATGATTTTAATACAAACTTTACGGAATTGGATGATATGATATCTCAATTATGTCAATTAAATGACGCGCAAACCATAAATTCCAATTTGATACGTAGAAATATGGACTCTCCACTTTTAAAGGTTGTTGAAAAATGGTTAAGAGAAGATTTGAGAGAAATTAGATTACTTCAAGCCGAAGAAAGGAAAAAATTCGAACACGAAAGAGATAAAATTTTATTAAATGAAGAAAAACCAACGACTAAATGGGACATCTTATCAGACAATATGGATAAGCATGGCGATAAATATTATAATTATTGGAATCGTTAAATTGTTATTTTTCTTTTATATGTATTTTTTTTTTTTTTTTTTTTAAAAAAAAAAAAAAGGTTTATTCAAACATAAATAATAAATATAACATTTTCTGCGTCTTAAGTTTTGTCGTCGTCCAATCATATCGTGAAATCTCGTGTAACACTAAAAAATTTATTTAGCGTTGTTCTCAAGTTCGATAAAATAATTTCTCTAATTCTCCAAGTCCAACCATTAATAATATGTCTGATACTCTTTCTCTCCGTGGAACACTCGAAGGTAAGCGTTATAACCGTTCTAATTTGTTAAAAATTTTCTCATTCAACTATCTAAAAATATTCGTCCACATATAGGCCACTCAAACTGGGTGACAGCTATTGGTAAGCTGTTTAATGTGACATAATCAATGTTTAATTTTTATTGAAGTATACTCAATAAAAAAACACTTGTAAAAAAAATATATTAAATCATTATAATCTTTTTAGCCACTACATCGGAAAATCCTGATATGATTTTATCTGCTTCCCGTGGTATGTCGAATTATTCTTATTAATGATCTCGATCAATAAATTGAGAAATCGGTGGAATTTATGGGAGGATTTATAGAGAAGTTAATTTATTTAACATAAATCAAATCCTTTGAAGGTTCAATTGTTTATCGTTCTCATTTGAGTTGCGAATCATAATATTAATGTTATTATGATCCATTATTGACAGATAAAACCATAATCGTTTGGAGTTTAACTCGGGATGAGACTAATTATGGGGTACCTAAGAAAGCTCTCACAGGTCACAATCATTTTGTACAAGATGTGGTCATTTCTTCCGATGGTCAATTCGCTTTATCCGCATCATGGGATAAAACCCTTCGCCTCTGGGATTTAAACAATGGGACGACAACTCGTCGTTTTGTGGGTCATGACAAAGATGTTCTTTCTGTATCTTTTTCGCCTGATAATCGTCAAATTGTGTCGGGTTCGAGAGATAAAACCATCAAATTATGGAACACGCTTGGAGAATGTAAATTTAACATTCAAGACGACGGTCATTCCGAATGGGTTTCATGTGTGAGATTCTCACCAAATCCATCAAACCCAGTTATTGTGTCATGTGGTTGGGATAAGCTTGTTAAGGTGATTATTAAATATCCTTGAAACCATTTACCCTTGGCAATGATGTCAATTTTATTATATTTGCTACTTCAGAGAAATTCTTCAATGAGACGAAACCTTTGTCTGAGCCTAATCAAAAAAAATTCTCTTTTTTTTAAAAAAAAAAAATATTTCTTAATTATTTACAAAAACGTATTTAACATCTTTTCATTTTAAATATTAGGTTTGTACCTTTTTATTTGGGAAAAAAAAAAAAATTTTTTGATACGCTTTAATGTCAACTTCCAGGAAAAATTTTTATAATTTTATATAATTTCGTAATAATTTCTAGGTTTGGGAACTTACTAAATGCAAGCTTCGAACCAACCACATTGGTCACACTGGATACATTAATACTGTAACCATTTCACCAGATGGTTCACTTTGTGCTTCAGGTGGAAAGGATGGAATTACGATGTTATGGGATCTTAACGAGGGTAAACATTTGTATTCATTGGAAGCTGGAGATATTATCAATGCATTAGTTTTCAGTCCAAACCGTTATTGGTTGTGTGCTGCTACCGCATCATTCATTAAGATTTGGGATCTTGAAACCAAGACTGTCGTTGATGATCTCAAACCAGATTTCACGGAAACGGGTAAATATTCAAAAGATCCCGAATGTAT